TTTTTTGGTTCGGTATGGTACCATTTTTTTTTTCAGTGCAGTTGAGTCTTTACAGCAGAGATAAAGCAAATAATCAGATCACAGTCATTATTTCCGATATTGTTTTATATTCGAAACAAAAAGAGTCCAATGATAATTCCCATAATGATACGCAAGTCAGAAATGATTAATTTGGCTCCTATGTTTACTTCAGCAGCGAAGCCAGATAAAACTTTAGGAAGAACATTGTTAATTGCATCATATGTCAATTTTTTCCATTGATTTGCTTGTGGATAGAAGTATTCTTGTGTTTTTGAAATAATATCTTTACAAAATGGATCAGTTATATTACTATAAAAACGACAATACAAACGTAATATGAACAGGGCATTTGTTTCCATGGTCACATTGTAAGTACCAGCTTCCCAAAAACCTCTTATAACACGTCTTGCACCTGTTTTAGTTTTGATAGTACTGTATGGTAGTTGACCACCTGTAGGAACACCAAGGTCATAAGGTGATATCAGATCATTTGATGCCCATCTCTTAAATGCAGCTTCTGACTCGTTATCAAATGGAACAAACGACCAAGCACCGTATGGACCGACGGCAGTGTGCCAATCGATGAGAAGAATATGACTTGCATAAGGTAAATACTTATTGACAACATATTCTTCGGTTTGACTCGACCATGATTTTGATGGTCCAAAATATGCAATGCCTTGAGGTCGCTTTCCTTGTCCCGTTTTCATAGCTAAGTTAACAGCTTCCTCACCATAATCAGCAATCAGTTGAGCGAAGACTGCAAATGCATTCTGTTGAACAGAAACATTACCTAAGTTAGGTAAATCAATTTGATCCATTAATCGTTGAAGTATAGGATTGTCATAATTGAGTGTATAATACATAGCTACGTTCTTGATTTGATCAGCATTTTGTTCATTTTCTTTCAGAATATATGAAGCACCATAAGGATTAATCAGATGTAAATGAACCATGCGAACACCTCGTGGGAACATTGATGAATTTCCGCGAAGCATACTAATTTGAGCCATAGATCCAGCATAACCTTCCACACCATGTGTGCCAGAAATGGTATAGATAACAGCACGTTTTCGTACATCTCCTACTGCACATACAGTTGCCTGTAATTGTTCTCCATACATACCGTTTTCTGGATGGTTAATGTATTCGATAGACCCATTTGCATAGTTGCAGGCATCTACGAATTTTCTTGTTGCTTCTGTCACATTATTCGAATAGTAATAGTTCTCAGCCTCTGGAGTAAAAGCTATTTGACAGACGACAAATATAGAGAAACTACTAAAAGATATGAGGACAAAGAGGAGCTCTCGAAGTAGAAACATCAGAGGACACGTCTTGTAATCAGAACTGAATAAAGTTCTATTTAATACTGAATTTTAACTATGGTAAGATTGAATTCATGAAAGTCAATACATTTAATAAGACTCTGACATGTTATTGCCGTTCGATGCACGTTTTGATATTTGATGAGATTCATCAATAAGCAGCTTGAAGTCTTTCAAAATCATGCACAACATTTGCATTATTCTTCATTAAGCAACGATAAAAAACAGGGCTACGATCTGATTGATGTTTGTGATAGGAAAGATGAATGTTGCAGTGAAACTATGGTAAAATAATACATGTTAACAAATAAAGAAAAAAAACATTCAAAGACAGTGTATTGTTGTAATTTTATATTCATCGTACGTCTATCTAGATTACTATCAAAGAAATGATTCCTACATACTGAACGAGTACAAGAACAAACTATTTGATGACTCAGCATCTCCACTGAACTTAAAGTAACTCTCTTGTATGCTGATCTGCTTACAAATACATGAGCAAGTAACAGTTAATTGAGATTAATCATCAAGATATCATCAAATAAATTGAAAGATCGATGAATGTGTAATGAATTTCACAGAAGTATTGATTTTATGCGAGTAGGTATAGCATTCTTAAGTAGGGGAAACGTGGTAGTCAGTGTAGATTGGCATGTCGTGTGGCTGTTGTTTATGGATTACAGATGATCTAAACCAATAAACGCGCATCTATAATCACAATTACACATATAAAAGCCTATCAATGACATAAAAAGAAGAAGCAAGCATTGAAACAGGTTTAATCAACGATCGACTTGTAATTAATCATGAGAGTCAAGTTTTCGAGAAGAAGAACTATGTTCATTTTAGATAATACAAGCTTCAGTAATATGTGAATAAACTTGAATTGAAAGTATTTGTCTTTCATAAGTTGTTTGAGATTTTATTGAGTCAAAATATCACAACGTTGTCTTTTTTCATACTTGATGACTCATTCATGATTTTGACCAACTATAGGCAATTTTCGAATTATGTAATATTTTTATCGTAGAAAGTAGGATACAAACATTTTATTTAAGTATTTAGCTCTATCCACAAATGAATAGATTAGAACTTTGAAGATTTCATTGAAATCTACTCAATGATGAAACTTGTCATTCATCGAGATATATCTTGCTTATTCTTCGTAGACGACGGGAAAAGATAATTGTTCTTAGTACTCAAGGTGCACAGCTAATGACCAAATATCATTTATAAATGTTTTTAATGAATGATTGTTTGTTTTAATGATATTTGAAAATTATTAAAATGCTTGAGTGAAAAAGATCAAATGATTGTTTGCTTTGAGGTATCTTTTTTTTCTAACCATTCGAGATCGATTAGTGCTATATTGAGAGTAAATCTTTGAAAGCAGGTGTTAGCTTGTTTGAAACAAATGTTAGAAATTTATATTTTGCCGTTTCCATGACTTGATACTTCGTTATTGTTGGATTTGAATATGACATAGTATAATGTATGAAACTGAAAACTATGAAGTACCTATTGATATTAAAAATAGTAGAGAATATCTAATGTACCATAAAAATCGATTTTACAGTATCTTTGTCATTTCTTAGTATCATCGTTATGCGAGCACGAAGAAGTTTGATAGAAACATTGGTCATATGATTATCTATCCTTAATAGTATCAGTGAGTATAGTTGCGGGTGTTGGTGTGATATGAGTCTTCTCTAAATCAATCACTTACCGTCCACACTCACACATTGTTAATTTTTTTTCAAAAAATGGTCATTACTACTTTTTAAAAAACCTTGCATTAGTTGATACAGAAAAAGTAGCGTCTACTAGCTACTAAGCAATCTTCTATTACAGCGAACCGAACAAGGTGTTAACTATTCAGGATTTGAACTTTGCTTCGTACACTCTCATCTAGACTGACCCACACTCATATTTTAACATACATCCAACATTAATATAATCACAGCTATATCGATTCACATTCTCGACCAACACTCTCAAGCATAGTGGTACATTTGCTCTTCGTTTACATCACAACCGCATGTCTGTGTCTGGAGAGTGTGGGTGTGCGTGGATGTGTACGCTCTTTTCCACCCACACCCATACCCATCCTACACCTCCCCCCCCCCCCCCCCCCCCCCCCCCCCCCCCCCCCCCCCCC